TAATCATTAAATTTTTAATGTTTTACGTATAAAATATAGATTAAATAAAAGATTTTATTGAAAATGTCGCGAGAATTAAAATGTAAGTGTTATATGAACTATGAACCATCGATACCGTCCAAATTTGAATGGACTGAAACTGCATTGTATATAATACATTTATCAATAACAAATGTCTGGTGTGAGCATACAGAATGGTTTGTTTTTTAGCTTGTCTAGATAGCGAAGACCCATAGTTATTTTAGTTGCACCTGCACAGCCTGTTTCAGCCACGCACACGCGTACCATACATGCGTGCAGGATTACAAAAATGTGTGAAATATAAATTCATAATATGCTATCTGCATAAACATTCAATTGCATTCATGATTTTATAACAGAATCATATGTAATATTTGAATTGGCCGAAGAAGAATAAATTTTTATGATCATTTATAATTACACCTTCACGATATATGTAATTAATTTGTTATTAGCGGTTACTACGGTACTATTCTATAATTTATTGTACACTAAAAAGTTATTGAAATCAATATTACCTTAAAGGATTCGATGCTAAAACTCTTTTTTATAAGGCTATTAAACAATGAACGAAAAAGAAAGAAAATATTACATAAAATAAAAGTTAAATATTAATGACAATAAAAACAGTCCATAATATTTTTACAATAAATAAGAACGGACAATTTTAATTAACTGTTTGATAATGTCAGGATATTCCACACAATTTAATTACTGTATGTTTCTGGACTATCCTGATTCAAAGCGAAATCCTTTTTTTTATAAATCTTAATTATTTAAAGCTGAAAAAATGGAGGTTTCTAAATCTACAGTACATGGCTGTGAATTCTTCCACAAACGCTTGGTATACATATAATGGATAAACTTTTAATGAACTTTTAAAAATATTTTATTTATCGACATGGGCATATTCAGTTTCTTGGTGAGGTGAGGGCATAGTCGAGCCAATGTCGAAATATTTGTTTAATTATTGTATTATGCAAAAGTTTTTCAATCACTATATATATAAAAATAGCATTCCCATAATTCATATGGAAATTCGTCAAAGTAATGGTCTGTTTTTCTTAATTAAAAGGCTGCTAATTCTAATGAAATATTGCCCTCTCCTGTGCCCCTTATGATACGCCCATGGCGTATTCTCGTAAGGAAATGAGTTAGTGGTCTGATAGGGTTGTTGCTCATTAAGCGGGGCTAGAATTAAGAATAATATTAATTAAGCTCGGTGATTTACATAATTAGACTTTGTTATATTTTATATTAGTTCTAACATTTCAATTTCAGGACGCATGAATAAAGTTAAATTAAATTATACAACTTTAGATAGTTCGCATTTGTTTATAAGTTGCAAGATCAATGTGTTGCTTTTACTAAATAAATAAATGAATAAAATTGAAGTGGTTCATGTTAAAAAAGGTCAAAAAAAAACAAATAACCTGGGATTTCTCCCTTTTATGTACATTTGACATTTTTTTTTAATTAGATATAGGTACATCTGTTCATATTTTTGATGAAAAGTTGATTGATCATTATTTATTATTGATATAAAAAGGCTCCTCTTTAGGCCGTCAATAATTAGGTATCTACTTTTTGATGTTGTGATTAGATAGGTGTTTAACTCCATGATTCCTTTTGATAACTATTGTCCTCTATTTGCCCACCGCCATTATTATCCTTCTTCAACTTCGAAACTTTAAAATGTACTGTTCTATTGCAAAATACACATATGTATGTATGTTGTTAATTTTTACGAATTCCATTTTCATCGATCTTCAATTGTCTATAGATTTTTATGTGTCGGGGGATGCCCCTAATTTTAGATAGATCCTTTACTGAAATAATAATAATTAACAACAACATACATAATGTTAGCATTATGCCATCGTCATTCATTAGAATATTATTTGTTTGTGCGGCTGTCCTTATAGGCGATTTTCGCCAGTTGTATCCCAGAAATAATAGACTTGATCGGGACTAGACCAAAATATGGAGGCACTTTGAAGAATGAGAGAGGCCGAAGGTGAGATTCGAAAACTTTTGATTGTTTTGTCTTCCTTTATTAGTTCGGTATTATGAAAATTTTACAACCAAACAAAAGATAAATGAAAAATAAAATCTGCCCATAAGCAGGTGAACTTTTCCATTTTTCAGTTGCACGCTTATTGTGACCTATTCTTCATTTCATTGCTGTATCGTTTATCCTCCAATGTATACATTTAACATTAATTGACATTTGTATTGTGTACACGGTGATTCAAATTCACTAATGCACGCAGTTTAATCCTGTTACCATAAGTACCCAAAAATGGTAACATCAAAAGTACAATAAGGCTTCTCATTTAAACTTAGCCATTGTTGACTTTTTATACAAGAAGTACTTGTATGAAACTAATAATAATAATTATTATTTGTCATTATATGACACTATTGTATTTTACTATTATTTTTATGTGGCAAAAAGGACAAAAATGCTAAACTATAAATAATTAGAATCAGTAAATTTAATAGGAAATAACAAAGTTTTTATGGTATTTAAACAAATACAAAAATTTAAAACGGATTCAAGTTAGTTTCTTCAAATGACGTCTACTAAAATTAAGAACCATAAGATGAAACTATTTCATTTGTTAGTCCGATTTATGAAACATAGACATAGAAATATACGGATGAATTGTATAAAGTGCGATGTATCTATGCAGACGAGGAGTAAAACTACTTAGGGGAGATAGCGCCATAGTTGACGTACTAAGCGTGCGCATTAGATAGCCAATAGAATCTAGGCACCAGCTACCTCACCGCTATCTCCTTGACAGCTTCCTACGCGTTAGTTTATGTTCCGTCTGAATGAATTTGAATCACCATAATGTAATTAAAGGGCTTTGATAAAAAAATAAAAAGGGTTTCGCAATTTACTATGCAAGAAATTCTTTCAGGGTTGTTAAACCATTGTAAAATTTGTATTACATGATAATGAACTAAGTAACGCATTAAATACCTATAATAATTCAAATATTAGGTGTATGTAATAATAATAATAAAATAATAGACGGTTTTACTTAAATAATGGGCATCTCTTTTAGGCTGGCAATTTTATATTTTGAGAAAGATTGTTTATATTCAATCACTTTACTATGGGATATAAAGCGTTTAAAAATCTCCACGAAATTCTTTATAAAAGAACGGTACAGTCGCTCTTGTATTTGGATTAAAATATAAACAAATTACAACATCAAATAAGAAAAAGCTCGGCGATGCATGCTTTAGTATATCAATTAGGAAAGTGCGTGGCCAGGCTGTGTTCACAAGTGCTCGATTTTTAAGCTTTAGAAATAGATTAATTGACTTTGTCTAACTTGATCTGCGATTTTATAGATATATATATACATATACATACATTTAAATAACATATACTCTGTAAGATGCATGTCATCATACATTAGTCATAAATTTATTATGTCTGATTCTTGCAACTAGATATCTGACTGGTGAAGATTAACATTAGATTGAAACTCTTTCGTTTATTTCAGCTTAATTTTTTCTACAGTATATTCCATTTATTTTTTGATAAGGACTGTTTTTTAATTTAGTATTTTTGACATGCCACTTACATATTTTTCTATTAATAAATACGTAGTTTTAGCTTGGAGTGTTAACACCAGAGTTCTAAGTGTAGCATTAACGTTATTAAAGCTTTTTTTTCAGTATCCGTAGATAAGCAATGATATTAACAAATTAGTTTAATAATCATTATAGTGATAGGTCGTATTACTTTGCGAAACAGTAAAAAAGAACTTAAAAAGATAAAATTAAAAAGTCCAGCTTTTTGCCTTTGTATTGATGTTTGATGCCTTAGAATTAAAATCTTTTAAAACAATAGATGTAATTTTATTAATCAAATGTTTAGTTAAACTTCCATTTTTAATGTATATGAATTTAGTTTGGATATATTAATTTAGTTCATCAAATAAAGGTAAGATAGACTGCAAATTTTAGGGATACCTATAATAACGGGAACCCGGAACCGACATCTATAATAAACTTCTGTTGAATACACAATACCCAGCCAGAAATATTACGCCCTTTAAACAGACTTGCATAACTGACCAAGTCCTTTTATCTTTTTAAATTCTTTTTCTATATTAGTTTAGTATTGCAATTGGTTTCTAAAATAAATCGGATTGTTTCCATAATCGCAATAGGCAATTTTTGGAAAAAAGAGATTTAGTAAATTGTCTTTAAGTCTTATTATTATTATTGTTATCAATGTATACCTATATACTTCATAGTTACTTGACGAAATAGAATTTATTGTAAGTAATAGATAATTACGACCTATACGTCAATTAAATCTTAGTAGGTATATAACAAAAATTAGATCAATATACAGATGATATGAAGAATTTCTTTCTAAGTGAGATATTTTTGCTAATATTGATATGTCCTAGGCACATTGTCGTTTGCGGCCACATCACCTACGAGTCGGTGTCTCATTTCCTGAAGGATTTTCTCCATGAAGATCGTGAAGATGTAGACGTTGAAGTAGTATTTTTACACAGGTAATTGATTGCTAGTTAATGCTTTAAAAAACGTGACTATTGCTACGGTGAAAATTGCAATAACAACAAAAAAATAGTAAATTGTAAATCAAATTGATTAGTGGTGTTAATATTTTGGAAATTTGTTAAATTAGATAACACAGATCCAGATTTTTAAGGTGCCTATTGAATCCGAATTCAGCAATTGAATGTGTTCATACATGTTAGAATCTGAGACGTTTAATTTAAAAAAGTAAGAATGATTTTTTTGAAGTATTTCAGGGGTGAATTTTGGGCATTTTCAAAAACAAAATTAAAGATGATCTATAAAATTCGTAAATAACTCGTAATTGTTTAAGAAATGTATTTTTCACGGTTTTTAGAAATCTTAGTTTTCATCATATCAATATATCTGTCGAAAATTTAGATTCCATAAAGAGTAAAACGTTTCTGACAGATTAAATTAAGGTCAAAAATAGAAGAAAGAGACTACGAAAAACTGCCTAAAACGTCGAAAATCCCTATGAATCAAATGCCTTTCTGTAGTACTAGAATGTTACAGAATTTTGTAAATGAAATTTTGAAATAATTTCGCAAATTTAAGAAGAAAAAAAGGTTGATTGCAAAATTGCAATCATTTGAATTCGATTGATTTGTAGAAAGGAACCAGATTTGGAGTTGGAGGGCCTTCTTAAACGGCACTACACAACTGTGGAGTTTTTTCAGGGAACTATGATGAACGCGGTTGACCTTGAGAGAGTCAAGGTACCCATGAATTCCAGAATTTTATTGGGAAGCGTGATTTTTTCGTGCTTACTTATTTAATTTTGTTTATTTTACTATAATACAAGAATGAGACTTTTATCACGATGTTAATGGTCAGATAAATTTTTATTTATAATTAGTTTATTATCGTTATCTGTGACTATTATCATAGACACGGAAATGTAGGGACGGTGCAAAAATCATCTTTATAGATAAGGGATTGAAGCCCCTCGAGGAAGAGGTGGGTGGTGTCCGTTCAGTGGTGTCTACATTTTACTGATTATGAGTTACATTGTAATTGACGTACAGCGCGTGCGCAATTCGAGCATCCAATAAAATCTAGGCACCAGCTACCTTTCATCTTGACAACCCTTACAAGGATGTATCGTCCTTACATCATATGTCTATAACTACCATTTGTTGATAACAGTTTCATCCGAAATTAATAAGTAATAGTGACTGCGTAGTGATCATTGAAAATTAAATTATATATTTAGAAGTGCCTAAGCAGGTGCGTGCCTATTCGCTCGCTGCATGGTATTTGCAGACATGATGGAATGACAGCAAGTTTCAAGGACCTAGAACTCATACCTCTTCTCATTTTTCCCTTTTTTCTATCATTTTAATTAAACGTTTTTTTGGTAACGATCTCGTTGTATAGGAAGCCGCCTGATCTTGAACTGGAAGGTCTTTTCAAGAGACATTTTACTACCGTAGAATTCTTCCAGGGTACCATTATGAATCCTATTGATCTACAAAGGGTAAAGGTAAGTCGGGGTCAAATACCGCCTACCCCATTCGACACGTCCAGAAAATAATAAGCGTGAAATATTTTCAATATCTATACATTGTTTGTTATGGGTCACTTTTTCAAAAAGTATAACGCACGCTGTTGCAAATTGATAAATGAATAATATTAGAAACAGAACTGTTTATTTAATAATCTGATAAATTATATTTTTTAAATAAATCGACGCACACAATAATATTATCTATAATATCGAAAGGAAAACAATGTTTCAAACTGTAAAAAGTAAAGAAAGTAAAAAGGAGTTGAACCTTTACATTTTCTTAAACTGAACAGTTCAGTTAGTCAATATGGTGGCCAACATCCGCCATATTAATACATTTGTAAAGTTATAAATATTAAAAAATATTAAAATATTACAGCTTAT